TGGTGGTTCACACTTACACTCACTCATTTGACCATAAACAGAAATATTAATCTCAATCTTAAAATAATGAATCCTGTGATACTCCAATACTGAAACTATGTACTGTGCCAAAACAAAAGCATTCACATTGCTAAACTCACAAACTAGTATTTAGTCACTTAGCTATAATACCAACTTACCTCATAGTTTGTAATATTTTACAATTAAGAATAAAACTAAGTCTGCCCGAAATGCCTAGCCATGCTAAGCGTTCTAGTGGTACACTCTGTAATCACAATTTTACTACATGTAAACCACACAATAACCAAATTTCTGTAAACTCAGCATTGTAATCCTTACCTGGAGTTTACCTGGAGAGAGTTCCGGGGGTCAACGCCCCCGCGGCCCGGTCTGTGACCAGGCCTCCTGGTGGATCAGAGCCTGATCAACCAGGCTGTTGCTGCTGGCTGCACGCAAACCAACGTACGAGCCACAGCCCGGCTGATCCGGAACTGACTTTAGGTGCTTGTCCATTGCCAGCTTGAAGACTGCCAGGGGTCTGTTGGTAATCCCCCTTATGTGTGCTGGGAGGCAGTTGAACAGTCTGGGGCCCCTGACACTTATTGTAGGTCTCTTAACGTGTAGGACCCCCCTGCTTTTATTGGGGAAGTTGCATCGTTGCCAAGTCTTTTGTTTGTAGTAAAGGGGGTTTTGTGTGCAGTTGGGTTTTCTAGTCCCTCTGGATTTTCGGGGTGATTAATCGTATCTTCCCCCGGGTTTCCCGGGGGAATACAGGTTTGGGAAACCCTCAAGCGCCCCCCAAAAAATTGGGGTTTTATCTCCGTTAGGCGCCGTGAAAGTTCCTGTACATTTTCAGGTCGGCATTTACTGCCTTGAAAGGTGCTGTTAGTGTGCAGCAATATTCCAGATGATAGCCCAAGTGACCTGAAGAGTGTCATCATGGGTTGGCCTCCCTGTTTTAAAGGGTTTCATTATCCTCCTGTCATTTTTCTAGCAGATGCGATTGTTTACAATGTTATGGCCCTTGAGGTGAGATCCCGACATGATCACCCCCGGTTTTTGGTTGGGTTTGTTTTTTTTGGGGGCCAGAATTTGTTTGTCTTGATGAGTTTTTATTTCCTCTGTTTACCATATTGAGTAATTGAATTTTCATCGTTAAACTTATATTTTTTTCTGCGCCCACTGAAAGATTTGGTTGGTCCCCCTGGAGCTTTGCATGTCGCAAGGGAAGAACTGTCATGCAAAATTGGGGGTGTCATCTGCAAAGGAAAAGAACAGTGTGGGGCTACCCTTGTTTTATTCGGATATGGGGGGAAACAAGATGGGAGCGAGTACTGTGCTTTGTGGAACAGAGCTTTTCACCGTGCGCCTCGGACTTGGCTGTTGACGACTTTCTGTGCCTGTTAGTGAGGAAATTATAGTCCACGACCGACTTTCCTGTTTTTCCCTTTACAGCTTTTTGTGGTATTACGCCATGGTCACACTTGTCAAAGGCTTTTGAAAGTCTGTTTATATAATTGCATTCTTTTTGTCTTCTAGTGCATTTAGGACCTTGTCGTAGGTCCAATGTTGAGACGACAGGGCGACCTGTTTTTTAACCCCTTTTGCCTGGGTTGTGAACTGATGGGTTTTAGTGGGTGGTGATTTTGCTTTTAGGCCTTTCAAAGATTTTTATGATATGGGATGTTAGTGCTTTGGTCTGTAGTTCTTTGCTGTTGCTTTACGCCCTTTTTGTGGAGTGGGGGCTCTGGGGGCCTGGGGTTAACGCTCTGCTTCAACGGTGGGGCCTGGGTTCGATTCCCAGCCAGGTAAAAACTTTGGGGTTGTTTTTTTCCCACCTGTTGTTTTTTTCCCCATCAGTAAAATGGGTACCTGGGTGTTGTCGATGGTGTGGGTCGCATCCGGGAACTGACAAAGAGGCCTGGTCACAGCCGGGCCCCGGGGGGGCGTTGACCCCCGGACTCCTCCGGTATCTCCAGGTATGTTGTTTTTAGTAACTGGGGGACGCCCCCCGTGTCCTGCTCCCTCTCCATGGGGAGGAAAAGGCTCGTGTGGGGGGCTTCTTGCAGTTCTTGATGAACACGAGCCCATGAGTCGGGCCCCTGGGGCAGATGATGGCATGCTTTTTATCGCCTTTCGATTTTTTTTTTGGGCGTCAGGATAAATGGATAGGCTTGTGTAATAAAATTTTGGGGCTCTCTCAAAAAAAAATTCTTTTTTGATCATCACTCTGTTGGTTAGCGGCTTGCTAAAAATGAGTATATGGGATTGAGTAGCTCACTCTTTTCTTGCTGTCATTGTGTGGGACCCATTTTTTTAAGTGGGGGCCCCTTTATGGACGTTTTTTCCGTTTTTGTTTTGGCATGGAGAAAAAATATTTTGGGGTTTTTTTTCGTTTCATTTATGTTTTTAGTTCTTCCCGCGTTTCCCTGACTCCAAAAGGTTTCTTTAAATTGAATGTTTGAAGAAGGTCAACGTAAAGACTAAGAATCTTAAGGTGGGAGAGAGTAAACCCTGTTCAAGAAAGTCGGGAGAGTCGGAGGTGGGCAGGAAAAAAAAGTACAAGAAAGGGAGAAGGGTTTTGGCCACCCAAAGAGCAAGAGAATAAGAGAAAAACCCTAGAGGATATGAGGGGACGTAGAAAAATATAGGTTTATGATTTTTGGGGAAAGGCCATAGAAATAGGGGAAGGGGGGAAAGATGATGGTCCTCCTCCTTATTCCCCATTACTATTTTTTCCCATCCCCGCCCTACTACACTACTACTACTATACTTTTCTACTACTACTATCTACTATACTACAAATTACTACTACCTCTTCCTCCCCAATATCCCCGTCCTGCTTACTTTCGTTAGTATGTTTTGTAAAGGGTCAAGGGGCCCAAAATTGCGTAAGCTTTCTCTTCAATAATTAAAATAATAATAATAATAATAATAATAATAATAAATAAATAGTATCTTTATTTAGGACAAGTCATGTACAGGGTTAAAAGGTTAGTATAAATAAATCTACTATATAAAAAAGCCCTTGTTATGCTCAAATTTTGGCAATTAGGTCAGTGTCCCCGGGTGCGACCCCCACCGTCGACTGACTCCGAATAAACTGGAAAATGGAAAAAATTAAATGTAAGTAATGTAAGGAAAAAGGAGAGTGAATAATGGGTAAAATATGTAAGGACTGCACACCAATAGTTCAGAAAAATATTTTATGTAAAAAAAAAGACTTAGTAAAACGGTAAAACCAATGAAGGAAAAAGTACTTAGAACCCAATACAAATAAAAAACAATAAAACTATTAATTTTAAAAGGGAAGTATGTAAGGGAGCTTTTATTAAAAAAAATAAAGGAAATAATTGGGGAAAATTTTAACCCCGAAACGGAAAAAAGTTCCGTATATTAAATTTTTAGGCACCCTCTGTATATATATTCTTAAAAAAGGATATGGAGCCGGGGCAAAGAGATAATATGGGGGCTGTAGCCTTTATTGGTGGCTGTCTTGGTTTTTGGTGGTGTGTATTTGGGGGTTTTGCCTCGTTATGGTGGCTGTAGCCTCTATTTGTTGGCTGGCCTCGTTTTTGTGGCTTTCCTTTTATGGTGGGGGGGGTTTTTTGGTGGTGTAGCCTCATTATGGTGGCTGTACCTGTATAGGTGGCTGTAGCCTTTTATGGTGGTGAGCTCGTTATGGGGTGTAGCCTCGTATATGGTGGCGTGCCTTGTATATGGTGGCTGTGCCTCGTATATGGGCTGTAGCCCCGTTATGGTGGCTGTAGCCCCGATTGGTGGCTTAGCCTCGTATAGGTGGCTGTGCCTCGTAATGGTGGCTGTGCCCCTATAGGTGGCTGTAGCTCGAATGGTGGCTGTACCTGTATATGTGGGTGTAGCCCCATATTGGTGGGTTCTCTTTGGGTGTAGCCTGTTTTTGGGGGTAGCCTTGTAATGGTGGGGGTAGCTTATATGGGGCGTAGCCTCGTTTGGGGGCGGTTGGTATATGGTTGCTGTAGCCTCATTTTGGTGGCTGTGCCTCGTATATGGTGGCGTAGCCTATTATGGTGGCTGTGCCCCTATATGGGGCTGTAAACCTCGTAATGGTGGCTGTAGCCCCTTTATGGGGCTGTGCCCCGTTTGGGGGGGTTGCCCCGTATATGGTGGTGAGCCCCGTATATGGTGGCTTGCCTTTATATGGGGGCGTAGCCTTTTATATGGTGGCTGTAGTCGTTATGGTGGCTGTAGCCCCGTATATGGGGGCTTAGCCTTGTATAGGTGGTGTGCCTCGTATATGGTGGTGTAGCCTGTATATGGGGGCTGTAGCCTGTATATGGGGGCTGTAGCCTCTTATGGTGGCTGTACCCCGTATATGGTGGGTGTGCCCCTATAGGTGGGTGTTGCCTCTTATTGGGTGAGGCCCCTATATTTGGGTTACCGTTTTATTTTTTACTCATAGGGTGGGTGTAAATTATATGGTTGAGCCTCTATTGGGTCTGTTTAAACTCTTTGGTGGGTAGTGTATATTGGTGTAAAAACTGAATGGTGTTAGCCCATTAAGGGGGCTGTCTTTTTTGGTGGCTGGCCTCGTTAGGTGGCTTACCTAATAGTCGTGCCTCTATTGGGGTGTACTGTATTGGTGGCGTACCTCATATATGGGGGCTGTAGCTTATATGGTGGGGGGTGCCTATTTTGGTGGCGTAAAATATGGTTGTACTGTTTATGGTCGTTTCTTTATTGGTGAGCCCTTATGCGGCTTAGTTTCCCTTAAAAAAACCCTATACCTTTTTATTAACAACACATCCAAAGCATGCCAAGTTTTATTTTTCAATTAACCTGGCCCCCAGAAAGTTGCTGAGTCTCTGTTTGGAATTTGTCGATTTTAAGAAAAAAAAAATTTTTTTTTAAAAAAAAAAAAAAAAAAAAAAAAAAAAAAAAAAAAAATTTTTTGCCCTTTTGAGGGGGGTTTTTTTGATGTAACTCTCCATTTTGGGGCTTTTTCCCTCAAATGCAGGCTT